TTGGGAGACGGGAAATTTAATTTCACTGAAACAGCCGTTAATCACTTCTATCTTCTCTTCTTTCTATCTTTCTTTCTTTTTCACACTGAAACCAAGTAGCGTCTTTTTGCCTCTTTTCATGTGATCAAAATAGAATAGATCATTATTTATCAGATTTTCTTAAGATCTGAAACTTTGTAGGTTAATAATTTTATATATTTTACATACCATGTAAAATTTATTTTTGTATGAAAATTATAAATTCATTAAATATTATTTTAAGTCAGGATATTGTAACTTATTAATAATTTAAAAAAGAATAAAACAAGTTGTTATTTTGGCTGAAACTGATTAATATAACTATCATCTACTTCAAAGTATAAGTGTCCTTTTTGTTTCCATTCTTGCCAAAAACGTCCTCATTTCTCAAATGTTTAACAGCCTTTTGTAAAAGCACATTTCTATTGCCTGAACTCTTTTCTTCATCTACATTGATTTGTCTCTTTAATGGCATATCAACTCCTTATGGGTCATTTAATACTGGCATCCTGGGTGAGACGATATAATACATCCTCGTCTTGGGTAAGATGATATACTACATCTAACAGTAAGGACTTTGATCAGGAGGGTTTGAAGAGCAACGAACCACCTCCTAATTGCTGGTGTTCCCTGATCCACCCTGACTTTGTGTAGTAGCACCTGTTAGGGGCCTAGCTATGGGCAAATAGTTACCCCCCTCCAAATGGGGTCAAAATACTACGAAAGTTTAAAAATAGGTTTTAATACCAGCAATAAATTTTTAAAAAATTATTACCAGTAGTATATTTTTGAAAAAGAAATATTACCAGCAGTACATCTTTTTAAAAAAATTATTGGCAGAAATACATTTAAAAAAAAATTACCGGCATTTCATCTCTGAAAAGAAAATATTACTAGCAATGCATTTTTGGAAAATATATTGCCAGTAATACATTTTTGGAAAAAATATTATGAAAAATACATTTTTGGCAAAATATTACCAGCAATAAAACTCTTGTCGACATTAAATAACCCATTGAGGTTGATACGCCATTAAACAAACCAAACCAAACCAAGCCAAACCATTTAATGCTGAAATTTAATTTTCTTGGGAGATTGGAAGTGATAAAAATAAGATATATATAATTCTGTTTTCATAACAGGTACTACCACCCCAGTTCATGGTGAACCTGGGAACAACAGTAATTAAGAAGTAGTTCCATGCTCCTCAAAACCTCCAATCTCCTGATCAAAGGTCTGGTTACTGGATGTAGTTGATCATCATACACAGGACTATTGTTCAACTATAAGGGGATTGTTCAGCATTTCCTGTCATATGGGAAGGATGATATTACATAAGAGTTCAATAATCATTTCTTTGTTTCTAACAAGATTTTCCCGTTTCTTAATACGTTGTTAGCTTTTGGAAGGCATCTGTCGCTATTCCAATGGCCCTTCAGATTTCAGCGCCACATTTTATATCCTCTATTAAAACACTTCATAGACATTTAAATATCTGTGCTTGGCATCTCTAAGTCATTTTATTTTGGCGTCTCTAATTCATAGTTTGCATCTTGGGTTGTCTCTTTTGCAGACAATTCTGTCTTCTTGCAATTAATGTTTTGTTCTTTCTTCTTGCATACCAAATCTTAATTTATAAAAGTATTCATTGCAAACACTAGCTTTGAAGCCGTTCTACAGATTAAAGATTTTATTTGACAAAAACTTAACCAAAGAATGAATTTACAGTCATAGCATCACACCTTCTTGTAGAAATTCATATCTTTTACAGTGTCCTCGGTATGACGATAAACTACATTTGGCAACAAGGCTTCTGATCAGGAGGTTTTGAGGAGCGTGAAAACCACCTCTTAATTATTTGTGTTCAATGGCATATCAACTCCTTATGGGTTATTTAATGCTGGCATCATGGGTAAGATGATATATTACATTCTTGTCTTGAGTAAGATGATATACTACATCTGACAGTAAGGACATTGATCAGTAGGGTTTAAGGAGCATGAAACCACCTCTTAATTGCTGGTGTTCCAGGGTCCATCCTGACCTGGGGTGGTAGCACCTGTTAGCTATGGGCAAATAGTTAACACCCAAACTGGGGTCAAAACACTATGAAAGTCTAAAAATTAATACCAACAATACTTTTTGATAAAAATATTACCAGGATGACTTTTTAAAAAAAAATATTACTAGAAATAAAAATCTTGTCAGCATCAAATAACCCATTGAGGTTGATATGCCGTGAAACAAAACAAACAAACAGATCTTTTACATGACATTCACCTTCGGGACATGGGATGTGATGACTCTTTCATCAATTATGTCCTTGTATTGCCATCAATTCCCATAGAGACAATTCGTTAAGTATATTACACACTGTTTTTCTCTGCTTCTCTTGCCTTCAATATATCTTGTGAGTTTTAAATTCTCCAGGCCCTCTTTTTTCGTTATGTTTCCCAGTCTCTTGTTTGATATAAGTATAAGT